TCTTCTTCTCGTATTTGCGCGGTCCGTCGCCTTCGAGCCACGGGAGGAGGTTCTTGCACTGACTGACATCAAAGGATGTCAGTTGATTGCAGCCGTCTGCAACTGCTTCAACACCGGCACCGGTAACCCGGACACAGCCCCGGACGGACAGACGTTTAAGATTCAACAGATGTAGGCCAATGCAGCGCAAAGATGGATCTGATATGGCAGAGCCACAGAACGACATGTTGAGGTAGGTCAGTTGCGAACATTGCAGAGCGAGTACTTCTGTAGCCGTGTCGGAAAGAGCACAACAGAATGACTGTTAATTGTTAGTTTGTCACCGGTCATGCATGATGGATCAGCTTACCAAGTCTAGCTCCCGCAGCTGCTTTGCTGCATTTGTAAGATGCACAATAGCGTTGTCAGTCAAATACGTGCAGTCCGCCAAGCAGAGTCTGCGGAGATTGGTGAATCGAGCATTTCCCCAGAATTGGAAGCCCTGGTCGGTAATGGTAGTGCAACGGGTAAGGTCCATCTCCTCGATCCTGGAAGCAGCATGTGATGCGATGTGGTGCATTGACCGGTCCGTTACATGCTTGCAGTAGGATAAGGTTAGTTTCTTGAGTTCGGGGCAGCCGTACACGGTCCCGGCGGCCGTCTGTCTGGTCGGCTTCATAGACGCCTTCCCTGATTTTGACTCGTCGTGTGGCTTGTGCTGGCCAGGGGAGACCCAGCCTACAATTCGAGCAAGCAGCGTATCCCCGACTTTTCGACAATTGCTCAGATCAACCTCCTGTAAGTTGTTCGCCTTGCTCGCCATGTCAAGAATAGACGATGCGGTGACATCCCAGACGCTCTTCATCTTCCAGGTAACCACGTTAGAACCACACGTCGCAACTAGTTTGCTAAACCCTTCGTCTGTTATGTGGAAGCAATTACTTATGTCAACATATCGTGGTCTGCTACCCACAAAGGGGCAAATGATCTTGACCAGTACGTCATCCGTGACGCACCGGTTATAAGTACTCAGGTCCAGGTGATGGAGCAGCTCCGTTGACTTGCTGAGAATCTCTGACCAGTGCATAGAGACCGCCCTGAGGCGAAGGAGATCATGAAGCTCAAGATGCTGGAAAATAACCAAAAGGACCTGATCCGGGAGATAGCCGTGGTTGTCCCGACGTGGCTCACGGACCGTCTCCGAGAGTGTTGAGAACTCGCCGGCCCCGGGAAGCGTGAGAAAGGACGAGCTAGTAGATCGAGGCTCCGATGAGGGTGAAGATCTCTGTTGCTCCCCGGAAACTTCCTCCGGCGTCAATGGCGCCACGGAGCTGCGCCGGCTTCGCAGCCGGACTTTGTCTAGACCAACACTGAGGAAAGGATCCGGATCGGAAGGCCGCAGCACACTTGGTTCATCTAGACCTTTGACTGTCGGAGTACTGTCTAACTCAGTCTCTGTTAGGGTAAGAAGCGGCATGGACTGTCTGCGGCCCGCCCGCATCTTGAAGTTATCATCGACACTCAGAGGTTGCTCGTCAGCTCCCGCTTCTGACATCACAACGTCGCCATCGGACGCTGCTTGAAGCCGCTCCTTGGCGGTCCTTTCCACCTGTTCGCGGACTTTTGGAGGACACCTTTCCCAAAATTCTACTAGTACCTCACCGCTGATCATCAAACATTCCACCGCACTAATGGATCGCACGGTGGCGGTCCGGCGTGGTGCCAAGGAGAGGCTCACAACTTCACCAAAGTATTGCCCCTGTTTCAGCCGGGCTTTGACTTCGAAGCTAGGGTGCTCGATCTTATTGGGCAAGGATTGCGCATGATGGTTTGGTGTTCTCTCCGACAAAACCTCGACCTCTCCGCGGACGATGAAATAGATCTCCCGACCCTGGGAGTCCTGCTTGATGATATCGGTGAATGGCGGGTAGGAGCGCGGTTGCGCTTTCAGGCCCAGGAAATGGAGGATATCTGGCGGTAGACCGGAGAAGAGGGGCAGCTCCTTGAGAAGTAAACGGACATTGACCAGTCCGTTCGCCAGCGCACTGGAGGATCCATCAGCCAATCCAGGACTCGGGGACTTTCGCTTTTTATTGACGGACTTCAAGCTTCTGCCGTCCTGATCTGCGAGGTTCAGGTCGCCGGAATATGTGTCCCGCAATCTCTTTGAACCTCTCCGAATCGGACTCACAAGATCACCTGACGGTACCGAGGTCTCCTTCTTCTTCTTCTCCAAGATCATCAGTCGCTCCTGGGCCTCGTCCCGAATGGCTCGTTCTACGTCGGGGAACCGAGGGAGAATTTTCCGGAAGTCCTCCTTGGTTAAAACGACTAGTAGGCATCGAGTGCGGGCGATGATGGTAGCTGTCCGCGGGCGATCCATTAGTACACCGATTTCACCAAAAAAGGCCCCCGGTTCAAGCTCCACATATATACTCTCGCCATCGCGCGAGGTCACGGAGACAGCGCCCCGAACCAGCCAATAGATGGCCTTGGCCTCATCCCCCTCCGTCAGAATGTAGTCATTGGGCGCATGGAGTTGTGGACGCAGATGCTGGCCGACTTCGACCAGGAAGGATTCGGGTGTGGATTGGAACAAGGGAAAGGAGCGTAAGCGGTCAACAAGGTCCAGTGGGAGGGCTTGAATATTCGAGGAGGTCAAGGGCGACGGCCGTACGGGGCGGTTTGGATTGGTGATGGAATCGAACGAATGTAGTAGCGACGCGGTGTCGGAGATGGGGTGAACAGCTTTTGTTCCACCACTAGCTCTGCCATGGCGCCGCATGATGGGCCGGTGATGAGGTGTGTTTAGGGAGGGCAGTCAAGAACAAAACAGAATTGGAGAAGAAATTCGAGAAGGGAGCATGTAGTTTGTTGGCCGGTATCGAAGCGACCAATGGAAGCGATGACGTCGACGAGAATGAGATCACGGGGAGAGGAGCTCTCAAAAAAGCATCATGGCTGACGATGGATGGATGGATGGAACGGAGACAGTGCGGGGGAGGGCAGATGGGCGAGGAAGGAAGGCGGTGGTAGTAGCAGTTACTAGTAGTAGTGGTGGTGGTGGTGGTAGTGGTGATGGAAGGTGGTGATGATGATGACGATGTTGGATGATTAGAAAGCAAGCAGCTTGACCAAGATCGAGAAGCTAAGCTGAGCTGAGCTGAGCTGAGCTGGGAGGAAAAGAAGACTCGAGATGAGGAAGGAAAAGAAAACAGCTCGCTACTACTCGGTGTTCTAGTTGGCTCTATGCGACAGGCACACACAAGTGTCAAAGAGGGACGGGCAAAAGAGCGGGAATCCTGCAGAGCAACAACAACAATAAACTGAATAATAATAATAATGATAATAATACTGGAGACGGGCGGGCGAGCATGATGGGGGGGGAGGGACTTTCTGGGTGGGAGCTAAGCTAGTTAGTTAGTAGGAATTAAACCAACTAACTCGGAGTGGTCAACAGTGGTTCAGTCTAGCCGGCGGACCAGAGAAAAAGAGAAGGTCTAATTCTAAAAGGTCGTGCTGCTGCAACTTCTTTTCGAAGCGGGGATCACCAAACGTCAAATAACGCGCTTGTTGCTCCACCGCCGGTCCGGAAGCTCCTCTGATTGCCCTTCCCAAAGTCAATGACGATTCGATCTCTCTCTCTCTTTCTCTCTTTCTCGTTAGGATTGATTCCGATCTGCTTCCTGTCACTACTATTGTCCCTACTTTATTCTTTAAACTCTAGACATGCATAAAGTGGTGCCATATTCCACAGTGATGTTCTAGTCTATCATCGTCGCACTGGAATCCTCGAGACAGCTGTGATGCTCCATATGTCAAACTGGCGGGAATGTGGTCAATTCTGCTGAGTGGGGAGCATCCTCCGAAACGGAAACGCCGGTCTGTAACATCGACACCGACTGGAGGAATGGACGGCCAGTGCTTTTTTGGCTTTTCCCTCTATTGGTCTAATGAATAGCTGAATGGAAGTTGTCAAGCTACTACTACTGACTATCTACTACTAACACTGAGCGGAGTGAAATATTTGGTCAGGCAGTGAGTGACAGGTGACACTATAATACTATTGATATTATTATCTCAAAATTCGGCACCTCAAAAGGAAGCAAAGTAAATACATACCTGCTGTCGGTGGGTCCAAGTCAGAAGTCTAGTCTAGCGCAGGATTTATTCTCACACTCACAAAAAAAAAGAAAAAATAGTGTGAGCTCGGAAAATTACATGGCTCGAGCAAGAATGAAGATCGCTGCCAGACTGATACTATGTAGAAATCTACAAGGAATGTCCCTGGACAAGGGTCTGTTTGCTACATAATACATAATGTGTAAGTAAGGTCGATCGAAATTACAAAGTATAAGAATCGATCATGGATCCGATCGTCTGCCCACCTGCATGGGGAACCATGCATCCCAGTTCGAGTTCGAGTTTCTAGACGAGTACGGTCCCTATTTTAGGCTTCAAGCCTTCTCGGCACTTGCCAGTTGCCAGGCATGGTTCCCAACGTCTAGAGCCTACCAGAGCCAATAATCACCGGGTGGTCAGGATCCGTGCGCGCACGAGATCAGACAGCAGGCAGTTGCCGCTGCACATCATCTGTTCTTAATCAACCCGGCTGGTCAGGTGATGGGGACACGCGAATGAGTACTGCTTTCGGATGGTTCCAGTATTATCATCCCAATCTTAGGGAAAGGAACGTGACTTGACGTGTCAGATATTATTTTGGTATCAACAATCCTCAACTCCATCACAAGAAATTATGTCAAACCGCGCTTCGGTTCCTGCCCTTCATAGATAACTCCTATATGTGCCCGGATAACTCCTTTCCAGTCGTATTTAGCGCGCTGTTGTTGTGCCTACAGACGGCGCATCCTGTTGTTCTTGGACAGCCCGGGTATAAGGACGCCATTGACTGTCTGGCCGGTGGGTCGGTCCGGGGTATGTGGTTTGCTTCATTCGGACAGCGCTGGTCGAGCGCGGGTGTTCGGAAGACCTCTGTTCGTAGAGTGGGGATTTCTAAGGATAGTGAGGCAAGCGTGTGCAACTATTTCCGCAACCCTAGATCTCTGCCGTTAGTATATGCCTTGGTGCTTCCAGGGTTAGATCAGAGACTCACCTATAAAGAGAATCGCGAGATTTCTTGTTGCGTCTGCCAGAGAAAGATGACCGGAGAGAAAGCCGAGAGGCACGTAGACATCCAGCGAAAAGTGCTTATGCAGATTGCGCAGTTCTCACTCCGTCCTCGACCGACGACTTCCCAGAACGATATCAACATAAGCAGGACGAGTTCCTTGCCAAGTCTCAAGCACATCCTGCACAATGCCATAAGCCAAGCTCAACTTCAGACCTGTCTTGGCCGAACGAGCAGCCGTATAGATATCTTGTCGCGCTAGAAACCAACAACAATCGCACAACATTAGCCCAAATCCAGAGCCCAGGGAATAGCAATCAGAGAGAATAACCCACCTAACACACTGTAAATTCCCGACATCGATAAACCCGCCGTAACCGTCGACAGGAAATCCCTCTGATCATGCCGGGCGTAATCCACCACCTCCTCCAACAAGCAGAAACACAGAGCACCAGTACCTAGTTTAAGCCCCATCTTCAAGCCCTGAGTAGATCCCTGCAAGAAAGCTTGATAATTCTTCGACTTATGGTACTGGTACCACCCCCGCGCCGCGTCGGGAAAGCGATGGGCATTCTCAGCTCGAAACCGGTAGGCTGCGGTCTTGCTGCCGTGCATGTATCCGATACCCAAACCGGCGGAAAAGGCGGAGGTGGACATGTACTGAATACGCTTTCTGAGCTTAATCCCAAGTCGGGGGGGCGCATCTGCTTCGAAGAATCTGTCCCAGTGCCAGATCTTCCATAGGAGGCTGTCCTCGTGTCCCTTTAATCTGTCCCAGCCTTTGTCCACCATGATGACTGACTGCTTGCGATTGCTGTTGGTGAGAGCGAACCAGGGTCGTTAATGGCTTGAATAATGCGTAGGTTGGCGGAGGAGGTCGGTAGCTGGTTGTGGTGGTGTCAGCTTTCCCCGAGGACATAAAAATCACGGGCAGCTGGAAAACGGGAAGCACCTGAGCGCTTGGTTCGCCGACTTCCGTCCGCCGCCTTGTCGAAAAGCTCCGAGGTCCCGCTGAAGATCAGCTCACTGATCATACAATCCATACTTGACCAGCCTGTATCATGGTAACTACATTATCTACTTTCTATATTTAAGGACATGCTGATGTGCTAACCTATTCCAAAACAACAGTCTCAACCCGACCCTCTAAGCTGGACTCTTCTCTTCAAGAAGCACAAGACCACCGTGCTTCTGATGCTCCCGCCATCGGAGACGATCGCCACTACGAAAGATATGCTCCTCAAGGCCCTCAAATCCCGCGAGATTCGCGAAATCAACGGCGACTCGGTTCCAGAAGATCCTTCTCAGATTGAGTTCGGCGTTGCAGTGGATAAGAATGATCTAGAGAAGGGCTGGACGCGACTGGAGGCTGAGGTGCCTGCGTTCGATGATGACAATGCTCCTAAACGTGGAGCCGCAAAGAAAGGTGCCGGCACTCTTACGCTGCAAGCAGCTGAGATTAAGAATGGTCAGCCTATTGCTTTCAGATTCCGGAAACCCAGCGAGGACTCGGAGAAGGATGAGGACATGATTGACCTGGAGCTGGATGATCCTGGTTGGGATGTGATTGTTCCGAGCTTCGATGATGAAGAGGAGGAGGTTAATTGAGCTCCTCCTCATCAAAGTACTTCTCTAGGTGGTATTCAGCAATACTTTCAGGGTTGGCGCATGGTTGATCGGGGCTCATATCGGCGGCGTTTACGTTCTTTTATGTCAATATTTGGACAGAAATACAATAATGTGTCAGTCAAGAATTTCTCGGACTAGAATCTATATAGGCTAGGCAGGACTTCTAAAAGCAAACAGAGCTCCAGTACTGCCAGGAATATTGTTCCTTTGACAACAATGACTGCATGTATGTAAAGCTATCGTAATTTGGATCCACTGCAATGCAAGTCTTCAATTTGGCGGCAATCTAAGGGATGTCCGATGAGCCATAGCACAATACAGTGGAGGTACAACAGACAGAATGGAAATGCGGGACACACTACAGCCAATAACGTCCTGTCGAGTCTGTCTTACCGAAGCTCTGCATTGGATAGTAAACAAAAAATAGACATGTACCACGGAAAAAGCAACAAAGTAATGATCAATGAATCATTCTCAGCCAATTCCATCATTACAACAGGCCGTGGACCAATCAGGAAACAATGGTGCGTGGTGTTATGGGCTATATGCCGTATATATAAAACAGATAGTCATAGTACCAAGCAAGGTTCTAAGCGATAACGTTGCAGCCACAACATAGTTGGATTATCAACACGGCAGGTGGTTGCTCGGAGCAACAAGGCGGTGGAAAACAAGCGGGTGTCAACAGTCAGGCCGAAGCTGGAACTAGTGCTCAGCGTTGCTCAACAGGGGAATCTCTGGGGCCGACGGAAAAACAGGTCCACAGTCAACATTCTTCACGGTTGACTCCTCAATCCTTATTTTCTACAGCTCGTTGTTCCTCATCAATTCGCCTTGCCGACGATACAGGGCGTCGCAACGTCCCTGGATAGCCGCCCGCCGCGTTGAATCCTCTTCCGCGATAGCTCTCCTCTAGAGGGACGTGGCGCCTCTGCTGTCACCTACGAAACACCATGGCCGACGCTTCATCGATCACCGTTGCGGTCCGGGTTAGACCGTTTACCATCCGGGAGGCAGCACAGCTCTCCAAATGCGAAAATGGTCCGCTATTCCTTGGTGACGGCTCCTTAGCTGGAGCACCGACACCAAAGCTCAACCAGAAGGGCCTTCGCTCCATCATCAAAGTCATTGATGACCGGTGCCTGTGAGTTTGACGTATACCATGCTATTTTAGTACGATCTAATCAATTTTTTAAATAGTGTGTTCGACCCTCCGGAGGACAATCCCGTACAAAAGTTCTCCAAGAGTGTTGTCCCCAACGGAAAACGTGTCAAGGATCAGACCTTCGCCTTCGATCGAATTTTCGACCAGAATGCCTCGCAAGGAGAGGTGTACGAATCAACGACCCGAAACCTTCTCGACAGCGTCCTCGACGGCTACAATGCAACAGTGTTTGCATACGGTGCCACAGGTTGTGGAAAGACTCACACCATTACAGGCACGGCCCAGCAGCCCGGTATTATCTTCCTGACAATGCAGGAATTGTTCGAACGCATAGATGAACGATCCGGAGAGAAGGCGACTGAGGTTTCGCTTTCCTACCTCGAGATTTACAACGAGACTATCCGTGATCTTCTTGTGCCTGGAGGTAGCAAAGGGGGGTTGATGCTCCGAGAGGATTCAAACAAGTCCGTCTCGGTGTCAGGATTGTCGAGCCATCACCCGCAGAATGTACAGCAGGTTATGGACATGATCATGAGGGGTAACGAATGCCGTACCATGTCCCCGACCGAAGCCAACGCTACCTCCTCGCGGTCGCACGCAGTCCTTCAGATCAACATTGCACAGAAAGACCGAAACGCCGATGTGAACGAGCCCCATACCATGGCGACTCTGAGTATCATTGACCTTGCGGGTAGTGAGCGTGCCAGCGCAACCAAGAACAGGGGAGAGAGACTGTTTGAAGGTGCAAACATCAACAAGTCCCTTCTCGCCCTTGGAAGCTGCATCAATGCACTCTGCGATCCTCGGAAACGAAACCATGTCCCCTACCGAAACTCCAAACTGACCCGTCTCCTGAAGTTCGCGCTTGGCGGTAACTGCAAGACTGTGATGATTGTCTGCGTTAGCCCATCGAGTCAGCACTTTGACGAGACGCAAAACACCCTACGCTATGCCAACAGGGCGAAGAATATTCAGACGAAGGTCACACGCAACGTATTCAATGTCAACCGTCACGTCAAGGACTTCCTGGTGAAGATTGATGAGCAAATGGCCTTGATTAACGAACTTAAAGCACAGCAGAAGGATTCCGAGAAGGTCGCCTTTGCCAAATTCAAAAAGCAAACCGAGAAAAAGGATGCAGTCATTCGTGAAGGGTTGTCCCGCATTCGCAATGCGTACGATCATTCGTTATCGGAGAGACAGGAGAGAACCAACCACATGATCAAGCAGAAGCAGATCAGTCGCCGGATTGGATTGCTCTCTGCGTGGATCGGCGCTTTCGATCATATCTGCGCCAGTTGTGAAGCCGAGGATGCTCTGTCCAATCTCAGGGCCGTACGCAAGACAGCCCAAGGAATCCTTCTCGAACTGGAGAGTAGCAGGCAACATTATCACCAGCGACTGGCGAAGAATGCGTGGGACCGCGGCATGACGTCCGCGGTGGAACACGCCATTCGTCAACTCCAAGACTTTGATATCAGCGACAATGGCGATTTTGTCAGTATGACTCGCGAGGCCGAGCTGCTGAGGGCCAACCATGAGCGTGAGGCTCTGGCGGCAGTCGCTGAACAGGACAAGGCGGGCGAAGCGGCCACTGTGCAATTGCTTCTCCAGGCACAGTTCGAACTGATTACTGAGATTGAGAATCTTATGCAACTCAGTGAGGAAGAAGCCATTGAGCAAGGGCAGAAAATGCTGGCAAAGATGCTCAATTCTTGTTCCACCTCAGTCTCCAACATCGTGAAGCCAGACGGTAACCTGCCATCCATGCCGCCATTGAGCCCAGTCAAGGCTAGTCCCTTCAAGCAGAAGAAGAGGCTGAGCATTGCGACTACCGCCCCCTTGGGCCGACCCTTGGCTGCACCTGTCTTGACTCCTACAGCAGCGCCGCCTTCGCCGCAGAAGGGATCACCCCGACGTCGCAAGTTGAACGTCGGCAGAAAGAGCGTCAGTTTTTCACCGAAAAAACCCGCCGCGAAACCGACGAAGAGAAGTGTACGATGGAAGGACGACGAGCACGAGGGCACATTGACCGAATTTCAAAAGACACCACAGAAGACGCAAATTACCACTATACCAGAGAACAGCCCGGAGCCCCAGCTGCCCCAGCTGCCCCGGACATCGCCCATTCCTCGCGGAATTCCAGTGCCCAGTCGCAACTTCAGTCCTTCTTCAGGCGGGTCACCCCCAGTGTCCGCAGTTCCCGAACCGACGCTCAACGTGCAAAAGAACAACCGATTCAAGGCGGGATTCTTGACGAAAAAAAACAGCAGCTCCCCAATAGCACCTCCGCCAACGACAACGCTTCCCCTGTCCGACAGCGAAAAGTCACCCCTGCGCGACATCGAGGGCAGCAGCTTCCTGAACCGGGCGTCCGTCGAGCGCCCCTCTAGGATTGCGGTCCGGACATCGAGTGGCAGCTACTCGGGCAGCCCGGCATCCGACAAGAACAGCTGGAAGGCAAGCAAGGATGATGCCATCAAGATTACCTCTGCCATGAGACGGATCTCTGGAGGATCGTTCCAGATGGGCAGCTCCGCCAATGCCCTGCGCATCCACCGACGACGAAGCCCGACATCGGCGACTTACGGAAGCTCTCCGACTGAGAACAATACAATGAACACTATGAATACCATGTTCACGGCCTCTCAGGCCCGGCGAATGGGCAAAGGCGAGAAAGAAATTGAAAGCAAGCCCGGGGTGTTGGGCCCTCGCACCCTGCCTATCATGAAGAACACGCATCGACGCACTACCTTTGGCGGCGACATCCGGCCCCGAGACATCAGCCTGAGCAGCAGAGATGCTATCCGGCTCAGTGCGATGGCGACGCCTAAGCTGGAGAAGCCCCCGGCGAGCTTCTCCAACGGCGGATTCGCCCTGCGGTAACTGAAGTGAGCCGCAATTCCCTTTGTTTTAATTGTTGGGGTCTAGGTAATACGGACGGTGTTCAGGAAGGATACCACATGCTTTGATTTCTGGTGAAGCAGACCTCGCGATCTGGAATCAGACCTGCTCATCTGGTGTGTACGGGATTGATGTGCTTGATATGAACTTGGAAAGATTCATAAACTCGATTACTTTTTTTTTTCTTCTCTTTTTCATGTTGATGG